ACTTAGGATACTTGAATTTTTTATCTTTCTTTTAATCTAGCATAATTAAAAAGAGAGTGCTTTGTCTTCCCTGTAGGTCAACATTGAGTTACTACATAGATGACATGTTACTAAGGTACTTACATGGTCTGAACATACAGGAGGCCAATATCTGGACACAGAGACACATGGTTAAATTGAATACTGTTCCCAGTGACCAGGTGAATGGTCTTAGGCAAAGTTCATTATTCTGAGCCTCAGTTTTCTCATGGGTAAAATAGGAATAATAATATCGGCTTCATTGGGGTTAATGGAAATAAACGAGACAACATATTTAAAGTTCCTAGGAAACTATCTGGCACAAAATAGGTTCTCAATAAAGGTAGGCTTTTTCAATCATACTTTTCTGTATTTTAAAACATATGTTGGAGTAAGATGGCTGGTTCCCTACCTTTCTTTCTTAATAGAAATATTTATTCTGGATGGCAAAGTGCACAGCTGAAAGCTAAAGTTTTTCAGCTTTCCCTGTAGCTGTAGAAGAGTCAGAGATACGTGAGCAGAAGTTTTTGTGGGCCTTATGGAAAAGTGATTCAATAAAGGAAAGAAACATGGCATGGGCTTGTTTTATTCTCTCCCTGTTCCCCTGCTTCCTGACTGGAACCTGGTTTTGAGGGCTGGGCTCCAGCTGCCTTATTGGGCTGAGGAGTGCTCTTGAGGACGGAAGCCTAGTGCTGTGGATGATGGAGCAGGGACCAAATGGTGCCTGATTTCTGATGAATGATGCCATGGAACTGTCATACCTGCTCTGAACCACACATGTCTCACTCCTTTTATATGAAGACTCATTTAGGTCATTGTTATTTTCCATCCTCATTACTAGCAGCCAATGCACTTTCTAATTGACACACGTTATATCACATTTAGACAATTCTGAAATTGGGAGATAGCTTCTAATACAGTTTAAAAAATAATTTTATCAAGAAAAGCAATAATACATCTAATTATTAATGGTATCTTAAAATTCAATATAGCAGAATATTATTTTTCAAAGTTAGGTAGGATTTTAAAAATATTATTTACTAATTAGAATTAGTTAGGAAAAGGACATAGCTTTGTAATGTAATTCCCATGCAGTGTTAGAGTCTTGCCTCTTTTGAGGAAACATCGAGGATGTATAAACAGTAGGTCCCCAAGAAAAGTTTGTTGAATTAACCTAACAGTGACCTTCTAATTTGTGAAATATATTTTCAAGGTTTTATGATTAATCAATTTGTTTCTAATAGTTTTTACTTTACTTGTTAGTACAGTTAAAATATTTATGACAATTATTTTTACAGAAAAATTTTACTGTAGACTTTCCCTATTTCTACTTTTAAAAAATGTAAATAATGGAAAATAGGTACTGAACATATGGGTTTACAATGCAGTGTGTATGTGAAAGGTAGCTGGCATATGTGCTGAATCTGATACTAAGAGGGACCACACAATTCAAGACATATGGGTGTTCATGTGAGACACAGAAAATAAAATACTAAAAAATAACAAAAGCTAGTACAAAATAAAGAAAAGAATAAAATGTCATTTCCTCCTCCTGCTAAGATGACAACCTCTCATCATGGTGATTTGTACTAGACTCTGATGCCAGCGATTTATGTCACAGCCTAAAGGAAGTACTGTTATCTTGATCTGGCACCAAGGAAATTAATTTAAAAGATTCTTTCCTTTTGAACCTCATTCAGATTCAGGTTCAGATCCAACTGATGCTGTCTCACACACCTATGTCCTAGCACTGTGCTTCCACACACTACCTGGCTCCCACCCACAGCCCCTCTGCATGGTGACTCCTACGCTTTACCCAGTGCTGGGGAGGAGGAGCCCTCAGCCCTGCTGAGTGATGGCTGAACTGGGACTCAAGTTCCTCAGAAGCCCAGTCCACAGGTATTTTCACTCTCCATAGCTTCCTAAATGACTTGACTGTATTTTCACACTTTGACAAGTCGTATGCCCCTCAGATATAAACTTTAAAAGTTTTTAGTGATTAACCCACATACCCAGACAGATCACAAGGGAATCTTGCCCCCAGAATCTCTTGAATAATTTGGCAACCCATTGGAGGGCTCTTTGCATGCACATGAGAAAGTTTTTCCAAATAATAACAATTCCCTGGAAAAGTGAATAGTCATTTATCTTATCTAATGTCTTCACTAGTATGCAAAGGTGACTGTCCCTTCAAAAAGGCCATTTTCAAAATGTCCCCAGAGCAATTCATCATTCATATCAACTACTGCTTTATACACTTGTCTATGATACTTAATTGGTTATTCTGTTTGACATGCAAGATCTGAATAATAAATCAGGACATCTTAAAAGCAACTCAGAGCCCTTCAGAAAGTGTAATGCAAGCCCCCCCCCCAATTCTTATTTCTAAAAAGACTCAATGCCTTGAAATCTAAGCAGTGAGCCAGTCATGTTTGACATTTGTGCACATTTGCTGCCACTTTTTCTCATGCACTGACTTCCCCGGCCTAGCAAAGCACTACGGCGGCATGGAACCTGCGGCATGTCCCTGGCAGGGAAAGAAGGGAGCATTGCCCGGAGCCCTGAGAGATAAGCAGGGAAGGGAATATACATGTGTTCTACCAAGTGGATTCATAACAGCCTTCCCCATAAGATACAAAGACAAAACCATGCATACGAATATCAAAAACAGAACAAAAACCAGCAGGGAAAAGGCGCCATGCTCCACTTCATTACATAATGCCCTGGAAGCCTGGTCTGAAGTGTATTTAGCATTTATACAAGCCTCACAATGTTTCAAGTGAAAAGTGAGATTGTAAACAGCGCCAGGGCGCCCAGCAAATCCAGAACGCACGCTGGAGAGTGTGGCAAAGTTCCTCACTTTCAGAGACATATCCACACCATCCCAGACCAACGGATATTTATGAATTCCAGGAGGAAATTTCTAGTGGAAAATCTCTCTCACTCAGTATCAACATGCCAAACTCCTTCCCATTGCAGAAAATAAGCCTGCTTTCTCTTAAACAGCTTATCATTGCCCCGTCATTCCTTCATGCTTCCTCTACCTGTAGCCCCACGTGTCTGCTGCCCCCAACCTTGCCTGCCTATTCAAATTCCCAGTGTCTAGGTTTCCAGCTCTGGTGCTTAGAGTCTGACTTCTGCAAAGTAGCATTAGTCACACTCTTGCCTCTTTTATTAGATGACATTCTCTAATTTCTCAAGGTCAGGAACTGTATTATATAGTTCCATATCCTCCACAGTGCTTTGAGCACAGTATGTTTATTAAGTTCTCTTTCATGGTCTGGTTTCTCTTTACTTTAGCTAAGTGTATTTATTCATTTAGTCCTTCATTAAACATCTGTTGAGTACCCACTGGGAGCTGGGGAAGTTGCCGTCCACATTTTTTGATCAAGTCCCAGTTTCCCAGCCATTACTTCCTGTGGCTGGAGGCAGCTTAGAGGCCCTCTGCACGCATAGTTACAGTAAGGTAGTACATTATCATCAAGGCTTTAAATTGAGAGAAAACTCTTCATATTCTTTGGACCTTAACCACATGGTCCCACATGAATCTGCTCATTATTCTAGGCTGTGTATGGGGGCAGGGTGAAAGAGAACAGAAAAATGAAAAGAGAAAATCATGGTGCTTGTGCATGAAGATTGATCTACAAGGATGTTCATTTGGGTATTATTAACATCAGAACAAAAAGTTAGAAATGTCCTAGTTAGGTAACTCATGCTGTAGACGAATATCCACAGATGTGAGGAAATGTGTTAAAAAAGATGGATTACAGAATAGTTGATATTTACAATAGGTTGCTATTTTTACTTTTAAAAATCCACTGGGGAGGACATCTAGAAGGATAAACTTCGAAGTATAAATGGTGAGTATACCCAAGGGGTGGGATTATAAACAATTTTCTTCTCTGAGTATATAAGCATTTTCCAATTTCTCTAAAAATGATACTGGATAACTTTTGAGTCAAGAAAAAAAATCAATTAAATTTTCTAAGGGAAAAGGAGACCAGGACGAGAATCCTCCCAGAACAGGAGAGGCTTCTGACAAAATTCTCCCTCGCCCTCAGTGCTCAGGTCTTCACTCGTTGATGATGCCCACTGTACAGGCCGCTTGCCTGCTGGCCTCATAAAGGAAGACAGCAGTGCATGTGCATTCTGACCCATTTGTCTCTTCAAATAGATACATGTAGATGAACATCTAGATGAGCAAACAGGTGTCACATTCCACCCCCCCCACAAAACACTGCTTTGTCAAGTCACAAACTGCTACAAATTCTAGTTGTTATGTAAGTTAAACCAAATTCTAAAAAACAAGCAAACAGATAAACATATTCAGAAGAAAAGCCCTTTCCCAACCGACTACATTTAAAAAAAATTCTGGCCCAGCCACCCAGGAACCAACAGGTCACCGGTTCGGTTCCCAGTCAGGGCACATGCCCGGGTTGTGGGCTCAATCCCCAGTAGGGGTGTGTGCAGGAGGCAGCCAATCAATTGATGTTCCTCTCTCATCATTCTCTCATCATTGATGTTTCTATCTCTCTATCCCTCTCCCTTCCTCCCTCTCTAAAAATCAATAAAAATATGTTAAAAAATTTAGACCTGGTTGGTATTGCTCAGTGGATAGAGTGTCAGCCAGCCCTTGCACCAAAGGGTCATGGGTTTGATTCTCGGTCAAGGGCAGGTACTTGGGTTGCAGGTTTCATTGCTGGCCCTGGCAACCAATCAATGTCTCTCTCTCTCCCTCACCCCTCTAAAAATCAATGGAAAAAATATCTTCAGGTGAGAATCAACAACAACAACAAAAATCTAAGTAACATTTAGAGGGAAAGAAATTTGTTTAGATGGATGGAAGGTGGACTGATAGGTAAAAAAGAAAAGGATGGAGATGTACCACATCTCACAATGAGGGTACCACCAGGGCACCGTGTGGGCACAGGAAGATTAACTAGGGACAAGTGGACAAAGGGTTGTCTGCACAGAAGCCATACCTTGGTCTGGAACGTACAGAACATGTGCGTTAGGAATGGATGCTCCCAGGCCAAGGAGAGAACTCTCTTCTCTACCATTGTACACTCAACATCGTCGTCCATCAAAACCACGTCTTTCTTTAAGGCTTTGACTGCAAAAAATTGATTGGTGTTCTTGAATTCTGCTAGAAAGACCTAGAAGGAAGAGGTAACTTTATTTTAGAAGTTGGAGTAACACTCATTAAGGGACAAGACTGAGAGATGTGTGCTGGGCGAGAAAGGAGGCTTCCTTCTCCAACCCCTTTGTCACCTTTATGCAGACACAATAGAGCACTTCACTGGTTTTGGGTATCACCTAACCATTTCATACTCTCTTTGTACCTTTCAAAGGGTTTCAAAAAAACTACTATGCAATTGGATGCGTTATTCTCAGTCCCTGAAAAATTCTATTTAAAAAAGTATGCCCTGTCTGCCCAGGGACCTGAGTAAGTTTATAATTAAAAACCACAGAGACAAATGTGTATTGATGGAAGCAGCTGTAAGTAGTGGAGAGGCAGACCTGATTATACTAGAAACATTACTGCGAATGTGCATAAAACCTTGTCCAAGTTTTACCCAGTTTTTCAAGGCAAAAGAGAATCCATGAGGAGTAGAACTCCCCTTGGTTGCTCAGAGAAGGCACACCATCTTATCTGATGGCACAGATACCAAACCCATTTTCAGGACCTATGTGTCAGGCATTCTGCTTTGTAGTTTTCATGTGCTCTCTCATTTTATAATCTTTTAATTCTTAGCTGAGAACACTCTGCAAGACAGATAAGAATAATAATAATAAAAAAACTAGGTTCAAAAAGTAACTTAAGTTTCTCAAATTCATGGAGCCACTCAGTGGAAAATGTAACTCCAGAGTTTACTTTTTCCACTTGATTTCATGAATCGCACATGAAAGGACACCAGATGGCACCTAATGGAGAGTTTCCACAGCTCTCGCCTTTGCAAATGATGCAGCAACAGGCAACTAGCAGTTGCAAGGACATGGCATTTGGAGACAGAAAACTCCAGCGAGGGTCTCATTTCACAGACATTTACTAGCTGTGGGAATGTGGGCAAACCAGTTAACCTCTCCGGGCTTTAGTTTCCTAATGTGTAAAAAAGAGAACTGTCACCATATTCTCTAACTTTAGGACCACTGTGAAAATCAAATGAGACACCACCTGGGAAAGTGATCTGTAAACTATAAAATCCTCTCTAAATGGCAGATACTAAGAATACTTGTCATTTGTTTCATATAATGACTTTTAGGGAGTGCTGAAGTCAATGATGCTAAACCAGTAGTGAAAATGCATTGTGTCTACATCTAAAATGATATAGTGCAGACACATAACTCTGGGATGGCTGGCTTGATAGAGGGGAAAGAGCTTAGATGACAAGTCAGGCAAATGAGTAATGTGCAAAACCCTAGAAAACATGTAGTTTGTTCTCCTGGGCCTAAAAGTAGATACAGAACTAGAATATAGAGGCTACCATTTTGGTGAGGAAGCATACTTCCTATAGAGAGCACAAAGGAAGAAGAACGAGTTTGGGAGTACTCCCAGTGTTGCTCTGGTGCTTCGTCCTCCTCTCCACGGGCCCCACAGTGCAGTCCTCACAGATGTAGGGACTCCCCGTGCTGCTGGCAGGGCACAGAGCAGACAATACCTGAAGCTCTCACCTGTCCCTTGGGATGTTACCTAAGACTTGTAGGTTCAACTTAATGTCTTTTTTATTAACTGTGTTCAAGTGAAGCAATTCACACAGGAATAAGGAAAGATAAACATTTCATTAACAATTAAAATTACCTTCTTAGTAATTGCTTCTTTCAATAAAACAGTCCAAAACCAGCCATAAAGCAAGAAGCTGGAAAGGTAATTTCTGTCTCTATAATGTGCTTTCAGTTTTTGGTAACAGGTTATGATTACACATTAATTGATGCTAAATTACAGTGAGGCCTGGCTGTAAAATTGCCTATTACACTCAGATTAACATCAAATGGGCCTGCTGTGGTTCATATGATTGTGGAAATGAACTAAAAGAATTAATGAATATCAGCTATAGATTTCAGGGCAGAGTAGATTTTGCCAAAAGTGAAGCACTGCTGTTTAAATTCAAACCCCAATCCCAGCACATCATCATTGAGCTGGGACAATAAATCAGTTGCATTTTAGTTTGTTTATTATTAAATAACTGGGTAAGTTTCCCAGCCAAAGTCTGGTGAGCAGGTGCTGAGCATAATGCTGGGTTTGGGTGTATACATTTATGGAACAGTAGTCTCTGGCTAAAATGTTCATGGGTGCCGAATCTAAGACTATAGAACAACCAATATATTAGGTATCCTTAATACTGTAAAGAACCCCAAATTCTATATTCCATGTCATCCCTCTTTACAATCACTGGTTTGTAAATATTCTACCATCACTGATAATGAATTGTAATTTCTTATATTATGTCTTCTTCCTCTCATTGTCCCCTGTGACTGGCAGAGACAGCCCATAACTCCAGTGTGTGGCAGGAGGAGTTTAGAGGAGGCATTTTCTCCATGAAGCTTTTCCCAGGACTCTCAAGCTACAGCCGTGTTATGGGCTGAATTGTGATTGTGTCCCTTCCAAAAATCAATATGTTGAATCCTAACCCCCATGACCTCAGAGTGTCACTGTGGAGGTCATTACAGAGGTGATGAAGTTAAAAGAAGGTCATTGAGGTGGGCCATGATCCAAAATTACTGCTGTAACAAGAGGGATTAGGACACAGCCATGCACAGAGAACAACCGTGACAGGACACAGGGAGAAGAGGCATCTACAAGCCAAGGAGAGAGGGCTTAGGAAAAACAACCCTGCCGACACCTTGATCTGGGACTGCCAGCCTCCAGCACTGAGAATTGTTGAAGTGGCCAGTCTGTGGCATTTTGTTACAGTAGCCCTAGCCAACTAATATAAGGCTGAGCACATCTGATAGAGAAAATGAACTACATAAGCAGTAACCCCACACTTGAGCAAATAGCAATAAATAACAACAAACAAACAAACGAAAACCCAGTGTGAAAAAGAAACTGGCTGAGGCACCTTCTTATTTCTGAGGTGTCCAGAGATACCAAACTCATAAGCTGGAGATGTACACCTGCAAAGCAAAATGGCCTGGATACACCCAAGGAGGCAAAGGCTGATTTCCTTGGAGCCCATAGGCCCCTATTTGTTCCAACATCTCTACCTGTCACAAAATGCTCAGGAATGCACTCTCTGCATACCCACTCCCAGTTCTGACCCCAAGAGCTTAGTTCTCCTAACCAGGAGCTTTGCTCTTCAATTTTTGGACGTTGGTCTGTGGGATTGTGTGGTATACCATACCTTGCCAAAACTTCCTTTCCCCAACATTTTGTGCAAGATAAAATCCTCGATTTTTAACTTCATATGTAGAGATGGTCTTTCTACGTTTGGCTCAGGTTCTGGATGATGGCATATTTTCTCCATTTCATCCAAGGGAGACTCCCAGGAGATTCCCTGAGGCTCTGAGAATGGCAACCAGTGGTTAAAAGGAAACAAAGAACAATGGAGGGTTATTCTAGCTACTTGGAGAACACACATTCTTTCCAGTTTCCCATTCTAGGATCCATCTGCAATAACGCAGAAAGGGGTTCCTGCTGTGACTGGTGGCACCTCCTACTTGTGAGCCTGACACTGGGGCATGGACTGCTTCTCTTAATCCAATAGATTGGGGAAATTTTCAAGTTGAGAAACATTCCAATCAGCAAAAGGCCATTTATGCAACCCAAATGAGCACTTTTAGTAAATGTCAAATCATGGACAAATAGAGATTTTAACCAAACTCAAGGAAAGCTGATTCTTAATTGCTTTGTGGCTCACAAGAACAGGGGCATCAATTTCTATGACTTACCAGGGGAGGGAAGAGAAAATGGATAGCAGAATGTTTAAGATCTGAATTGCATCATTTGTCACAGTCTTCAAGTCAACGTACCACCTACTTTGATCATCTCTAAGACCTGGTCTACTTCTTTGCCTGGACACTTTTCCCCCTCTAATCCAAACCTTTCTTTAAAAAATTTTAAGTCGATTTATTCCTCACCCCATGCCAGAGGACGTGTAGAAAAACATTTTTGGAATCTTTCCTCCTCTCCCGAATATAATTTTTCTTTTATTTTTTTATTGAAAATATTTGATATCTCACATTGTGTTAAGATGTACAATATGTTGATTTGATACATTTGCGTATTGTGATACGATTGCCATTGTAGCGATAGTACCACTATCACATCACATAATTATCATTTCTTTGCTTGTGATTGGAATAATGACATTTATTTTTTAATCTATAGGTTTATCTTTCATATTCTCCCTAAATCCAAGAAAAATAAGTATTTTGTAATGTATGTTGAAACTGTTCAGGTTCAGAGTCAGGTGGTCATATGCTCGCATGATTGACCTTTAAACAGAAGGCTGGATACACTTCCATCATGTCATAAATGTTAAGGACTTTGGGCACTGCTCTTCTTCCCCTTTTTACTCTTAAACATCACAGAATAGTCTGTGAAGGTGCAGAATAAGATGGTCTTCTGCGGTATCCCCACCACTGAGCTTTATGATGGATTTATTTATATAAAAACATTTAACAGTGATCGGAAGTAACTAACATTCTAAAATTCTAAGGAAAAATGAACAGTTGTTTTCTCCAGACTTATTCCATTTTCTCCCCCGCCCCCGCCCCCAAACCTCCCACTGTCTTAAAAAGGTTTCCTAATGGGGCATGTTTTAGTTTCACTTCTAAGAAGTAGGAGCATCTTAGTTGGTGGCTATGTCTGTAATATTTAGATAGAAAAGAATCATCTATCAGACCAGGTACATGGAGAAGTTATATACAGAGGACTCAGGTTAAGGTTAATCGAGATAAATTCCTGACAATGATTCTATGGGGATCAAGATAGCTACCTCGTTTCCCTGATGCCAGTACATAGGGCAGCCTTGCTTCACCTTTTATGGAGCATGGGGGACCAATTTCAACTGGACCTTCTCTGTAGATGTGTTCAGTATCTCTTAAGCAGCGAGCCTAGATTACAAACAAAGAGTCAGACCACTCACCACTGATGGACAGCTCAGCCTGTCCTTGGGGACGAAAGCCATTTGAGATTCATAAATGCATAAGGTAGTCAAAGCTCTTTCCCTAAGCACTCTTTTTTGGATTCCATATCCTGCGAGAGTCTATTGGATTTTATGCAGCAGCAGAGCATATTCACTTCCTTCATACTTTTCTGGACCTAATTAATTGTTTCTCCCATGCTATCCAATTGAAGGGCAATGGGTAGAAAAACAGCACTGCCAAGTCCTAAGGAGATGTTGTTCTTGGATATGCAAGTTAAGCATGCTAGTATATGGCAAGGCAAAAATTGCCCCAGACTAGGAGTTCTGAGGGCATTTTAGGGATGATTCTAGCATATCAGTTTTCCTCAGGCTATTAATCAACCCTAGTATCCTATATAATAAAAGCCTAATATGCAAATCAACTGAACGGCAGAATGACCGGTCTCTATGACATGCACTGACCACCAGGGGGCAGACGCTCAATGCAGGAGCTGCCCCCAGCCTGCAGGCCCCAGTCTGGCCAAGGTGGGTGCCAGCGGGGTTCCCTGATAGCCACGCCGGTCACCCCACAGTTTGGCCCTGATCGCTGGCCAGGCCTAGGGACCCTACCAGTGCACAAATTTGGTGCAGCAGGCCTCTAGTATGAGTATAAAGCTGGCAATGAATCCTCAATAATTTTAATGAATTTATTTGTTTCTGTCCCTGCTCATTCTACAAATTTAAGATCTTACAAAGATCCATACAATACAAATGCATTAAATAAATATCACAAAGGCAGGATTTGGGCATGAAGATGAAAGGGGAGAAGCAAGTGCTCAGAAATAGACTCCATGTTGTCCCACACAGTTGCTAAAGAGTTGAAACTGCAGGAACTTGTCACATACCTGTTGGGTGCTCTCAATCATTGCCAGTGCTTCGGCCATCAGCTTCTGGTTTATGCCACATAGGTTGGCCACCTTTGTCTGGCATCGGTGATGCACGTTCATGCCACATGCTAAAGGGGAACAGTGACACCATGAGCCAGAGCAACAGAACCAAGTGCCATGGCCTTTGCACATGACCTTCTTTAAGTACACCTGTGGCGAAGGAACAATTGGCAACCCCCGTGCCATCTTCACAGCAGGAGACACTGAATACTAATAAATTTGGACAGTGCTTTTAAGATGCCATCGGGCTCCCCTTCCTGAAATGCACAGATGCTCCTGTGTGATTCTGGGAAGTGAGCCCCACTAAAGATGGGACTAGAGCTGTTTTGATAGGGGCAGAGGTCTGCTGTCAGTATGCATTTAGACTATGCCATTACTGAGAGAAAAAGACTGACGTTGGCTCTCACTGGTGGAAATGTGCAATGCTGGAGTTGAAGTTTGTTCATGCCAACCCTAGACCCTCTTCCTAGAACACAGCCCAAGTCCTCCCTTTCCCACACAGGCTGCAAAGAGCTTCTCTGTACACGAGGGTTCAGCCTCAGCCTGCAGAACTGAAATGGAGATGGTGACGGGTGGTCTGTGTGTGGGCTTAGGACTGGGGGTGGGAGGAGGGAAAGCGGTTGAGACCACATGCCCAGCATATAGGAGAGCTGGGCCAGGTGAGCTAAACAGTCTACATAGGCTTCTAGTTCTTACAGCCACGATTCTGCAGGAGTTTTCCGATGAATAGTCCTGAAAACAGCATGATAAAGGTCTGCCTCCACTTTTTGTGGTCATGTGAGCCTCCTTGGTTTGGGGGATGTGCACGCCTGTGTGTCTGTGTGAAGACAACTATTATATCTTGTTGTTAGTTTTAGAAAATTAAAATTCTGCTTGCAAAACATCACTGTTACAATGAAAAAAAAAAGTTCACAAAGGTTTCCAAATCCCAGCTAAAAATACTTTGATCTCAAGTCCAACTCAATTTTATAAAAGTATATCAATCAGGATTGTTAAAATGGAATTATGCAGGAGGAGCTAAAAAAAACCATGTAGTTTCAATCTTATCTGTTTATTGTTAGCCCATTTGTGCGCAAAAAAATAAAAAATAAAAACCTCACCACAAATGTCACAGTGATTGGCATCAAATAGGCGCTCATTAGACACAACTTTCTTTTCATCTTCATTGTATATTACAATGAAATATATATTGAAATATTTAGGTGAAATGTTAGCCACCTTCATCTTTAGTTTTAACTAGCCCACTCTTCTTCAGATAGTTCAATAACAAAACACAATAAAGCAGCATTTACTATGTAAGTATAAAGCTGCCCAGTATAAGTGGGTAGATCTAGTCATAAAATCCATTTAAAGTGTGACGTTTAATAAAGATGCTGTTTGCAAAGGCTTGATGCCCTTCTGAATTCTGCATCCTTAGGATAGGGAGGCAGGCAACGCGAATTTAGCACAAGGGGTTGGGGAGTTTTACTTTGCTCCTTAAAATTGTACCAGATCTAAGGTTGTCTCTGATGTGCAGTTTGTAAAGAAAGGCCTTGTTCCCACCATGACAATGCCATAAGTCTTTGTTACTAACCTAGCAGGTGAGGAGTCGATCTCTTTGTGTGCAAATAGTTCCTTCTGATGGCTATTTTCATGGGAAGTGTAGTGGAGTGAGAAAGCAGACAGGGCAGGATGAAGGGAGGCCCTACTTAGGAAGGTGGCTTATGAGAGAGCAAGATAAAGAGAGTGTGCAGCAAAAGACCAGGGAAAAGGGATGTAGGGAGAGAGTGGGAGGTGACAAAGATGAGGACATGAGGAGGTGAGGCAGCAGGGACTTTGGGGTGTTGGTAGCAGGAACAGAGGACACATATGGGGGGGAGAGGGAAGGTAGGATATGGGAGAGGAGAGAAAAGAGGGAGGGGGCTGAAGTGTAGGAGATGGGAGAGTGGGGAAGAGAATGGAATGGAAGAGAAAGAACGTTAGAAAAGGACAGAACAAAGCAGGCACGTGAGCCATGAAATAATGCCAAGAATCCTCGTGGGAGTTCTAAGCTCAGAGCATAATCACACTGCCTGGCCTGGGTGGGGGTGGGGGGTGCCAGGTTCCAGGGAAAGGAAATGTCAACGGTGAGACCCTCATGAGAACAGGAAGACTGTGGATGGGGCTTTGATTATTCATGTGCTGTGTGTACCATTAGGATATCCAATGACTTCTTGCCTCTGAACCTGTAAAGGTATTCTGTGCAGTGCCAGGCCCTCCCATGCCTCTTGAACAGGCGCAGAGAAGAAAGTGTGTCGCAGCACTTGTGGGCTACGGAGGAACTGTTCAGGTGGATTTTGACTATATGCTGGTCTTGCCTTCCGTAATGATTTAAAACCTAGGCCCTCCTGCCTCCCTTAAGATGTCTCTCCAGGCTCCCCAGACACGTGAACGCAATTGTGATGAGGAAGGGGGACGCTGCTGAAGGTGATCTTTCACTTTAAGTCAGCACCTCTGTCGCTTAAAAGATAAGACACGCATTAGTTAGCGACATAAAGTAAAGTTGGGCTGCCAAGAACAGTGGCTTCTGTATTTAATAATTCAGAACAGAAAGGTCCCTGCTGCAGCTGGAACCCTCCTTTTTGAATATCTGAGCCCCATCCCCACTCTCACACCTGTTCAAAAGGCAGAAGTGCTTCGTCATCCTCGGTGGAATGTTTTCCTCTCTACCCCCTGATCTTGGTGCAACAGCATCTCAGCTTCTAAAGGTTATTGCCTTGGCAACTTGGAGTTGTAGAGCAGAAAGCCCTGTTGGCTTTTTCTTAGGATCAGCCAAGCAGAGGAGCCGGGCTTGCTCCTTGATGGGGCCACAGGGAGAATCTCACTGGCTGATACAAAGGAGGGCGGCAGGGGCACCGCAGAAGCTGCCAGAGTCAGGGGCCAGGCCCAGAGAGGCAGCTCAGGGGCCAGGCCCAGAGAGGCAGCTCAGGGGCCAGGCCCAGAGAGGCAGCGGGGCAGAAGAGGGAAGCGGTCAGAGGAGAAATGCTGCCTTCTTCATTTCTCCCCAGGTAGAGGCACAGCAGACGGCAATGGGCCAGGAGCCTTGACATTTAACCTGAGTGATTCTGTACTT